TCCCACCAACAATGCAGTAAGGTTCCCTTCTGTCCACATCCCCTCCAGCATCTGTTGTTTTTAGAGTTCTTGATTTTAGCCATTCTAACTGGAGTGAGGTGGTATCTCAATGTTATTGTTTGTTCCACTCCATATTAAAATGAGGAACTTAGAGTATTCAGTGACTAGAGACTTTAGTCTGAATAGTCTGTATTTTATCTTTGCCAACATACTTTCAAAGTGATGTTCTCTAATGCAACAGAGAATTTTAGTTATTTTTCTCAGTGTGAACCTGTTTATCAGGAGCATGGAAAGAGAGGAAGGCATGGCAAAAATGGCTTTGAACTATCCTTATGTTAAAAATTTTCTCTGGTACCAGGTATTAGTGGCTCACACTTGTAATCTTAGCTACTGAGGAGGCTGAGATCTGAGGATTGTGGTTCAAAGCCAGCTAGGGCAGGAAAGTCAGTGAGACTCTTCATCTTCAATTAAATACTAAAAAAGCTGGAAGTGAAGTTGTGGCATAAGTGGTAGAATGCTAGCCTTGAGCAAAAAAAGCTTAGGGACAACACCTAGGCCCTGAATTCATGCCCCACGATGGCCACAAAAAAAATAAATTCCTTGGCTATTACAGGTGATTAGGAAGAATGATGGTTATTGATAAAGTAAAGGCCAGTTAAAGAAATTAGCCTGTCATCTAGTAGCTCAGGGAAAAACTCACGTGTGTAAAAGTTCAGGATTTTACTGTGAGTGAAACACACTTAAGTTGTAAATTGGGCCTCACCTTACAGTTTCATGTTAAGTTTGGGTACCTTTCAAATTAACTGTAATATTTGATCATGGAAATTCTCAGAGCACTATGTATTTCTTAAGGAACTAGTACTGCTAAATAGTGGGATTGACTTCTTTAAAATTCAGCTTTGGGTTTTGAAAATTTACTAGAGAATTTAACTATAGAGCTCTACTTTAGAGTGATCGACCCAATACTGTATTTTAATTCATTTGCCTAACATGGGTATGGATTTGTCTGGAAAATACAATTTTATTGTCTCAATTTTATTGTTTCATAAATTAATACAATCAATTTTACCTTCTGTAGGTTTGGAGACCTTTAGCCAGTTAGTTTACAAAGATTCTTTTGGGACTGTAAGTATGATTATATTATTAAAAATTATTGCGTAGACATATTACTATTAGAAAAATATAGCCTGTTTAGCTACTACTCCCTGAAAGTTTCTATTCCCTAAATATTTATTTTGGCTGACGAATTTCTGCCAGTACTGGGACTTGAACTCAGGGCCTCATACTCTTAGATAACTTTTTTGATCACGATTATTTTTCTACTACCTCAGTCATAACCTCCACTTCTGGCTTTTTACTTGTTAATTGGAGATTAGAGTTTCTTGGATTTGTCTGCCTAGGCTGGATTTGAACTTTGATCCTAAGATCTCAGCCTCCTGAGTAGCTAGGGTTATAGATGTGAGCCGCCAACACCTAGCAATTTCATGTTTTTTGTTGTTTTTCTCAACTAAATTTTTTATCCAGTATTTATTGGGGATATTTATAGTTTTTATTGGGTTCGAGGTAAGAGAAAATTCTAAAATTAAATCAAAATTTTATTTTGTCTCCTAGTTTACCATCAGTGAATGCACGATTACTGATTCTCCAAGGTTTCTTCATAGAGGAATTTTAATTGATACATCCAGGCACTACCTGCCAGTTAAGACTATTCTTAAAACTCTGGTAGGTAATGGCTTTATTCTAGTCTATGTCTGTTCTGCAGATGTGTCCCCTTAGTGGTGCTGCTTATATTGGTTACTTGTGCTACCGTTTAGGGTGAAGCGGGAGGATTTGTTGTTGTTTTTCTACTATGTAGAACAAGCACTGGGATTTCTCCCTTCTCTCCCTATGTGTTTCCTCAACTTGGAATTGGGGATCAGGGGATCACTCTCCCATTTTTACTTGGATGATCTCAGACAACATATATAGCCAAGACAGTTAGATGAAAAACAGGATGTTTGTTGTTGTTATTGTTGCTAATGTTTTGTTTTTGAGATAGAGTCTCAGAAGCAGGCCAGGCTGATCTTGAACTCAAGGTATTCCTGCCTGAATCTCCTGAGTGCTGGGACTATATACACTTACCACCATATGTGGCAAGAAAGTTTACTGCCATTGGGCCTCTGGGTACTGTGATTTGTCAAATCAGGTGTGTAGACTTTTAGTTTAGAACATATTCCACCATACTTCTACCTAGTGTCCTTTGATTTTGTTACCCACACCTTTTTCAAAACTGGCACAAGAAGGGGTCTAAGAGTTGTTTTAGTTTAAGGAAATGTTCCCAAATAATATGCAACCTCAGAGGTAGTGGAAGATAAGAAGAAAGTTGAGCTGAGCTGTTTTATCCAAAGACTGTATACTGGGTCATTCCAGCACCTGTCAGCTGACTGCAATCCTCTTTTACTTATTAACTGTATATTGGGTCATTCCATCACCTGTCAACTGACTACAATCCTCTTTTACTTATTAACTGTATTATTTCTGTTAAGAAATGTAAACATTTACATGCATAAACATTTACATGTATGTTACTATAACTGGCTATTAGGTAAGAGACAGCCACTATGTCCGTTTTATCTCCTTCAGGGTTAATGCCTTACTTGTTGATTTAGGAATTTTTCCATGTTGTATTGTATGTAGATTGTGTCATGGGTGTTTTTCTGTTTGCTTATAATTTTCCCACTGTTTTCAATACAACAGATGTTAACTACTAAATCCCATTAATAACGTCGTTTCTGGAATTTCAGGCCTTACCAGTTTATCTTCTTCAGCCAGTATAGATCATTTTAATTCTTTCTGTAGCTTTAGAAATTTTGTGGGTATTTTTTTCTTTTGAGGTAATTCTAATTTTGATACCATCTGTGTATGTAAGCTGTTTCTCAACCTCAACAGTCAGATCTCTCCATTTGATGGAGGAAAAGGGCCTTCAAGTTTTGATGATCTGGCAGGTCATTTCTACCCTCTTACTATTTTTTATTGTTTTTATTCCTTCAGGGCTTAACATTAAATCAATATGGCAATGTGCCCAAACATTTCTCTGGGAGAGTATACTGAGTTTGTCATGATTTTGTTTTCATTTCTCAGGATTTATCACATTTCAGAACTATGGTAATTATAATCCTTGATATACACAAATGCCTCATTTTTCCTCCATTCCATTCCCAATCACAATGGTAGTCAAGAACTATTTCTGGCCTTAGCACATCCCTAAACCGTGGGAATGTCATCAGATGCTGTGCTCCATAGAGCAACGTGGCAGCTGACTGTCAAATACATGTGACCGATATAAGCTTCCTGAGTAGGCACATGTCATGCAAACTATGCAGGATGAGGAACTTACACTCACTTTTTCTATTATTCTTTCTTTACCATTAAAACATTTTTTTTAAGGGGGCAGGCTTATTGGAAGCAATCTCAGATGTAGATATGTGCTGTGGATTGCGGATGTTTTCTGGCATATAATAATCCTTAACATGTTTGCTTGCAGGATGCCATGGCTTTCAATAAGTTTAATGTCCTCCACTGGCACATAGTTGATGACCAGTCTTTCCCTTATCAGAGCGTCAGTTTTCCTCAGTTAAGCAATGAAGTGAGTAATGCCTATTACTATGGCTCTCTACAAAATCTTTGGTATAACTTCATTAGCAGGTTACAGCTTAAGTGCTTTTTCTTAAAAATCAATCTGTAAATGTTAGCTATTTGTGGCTTAAAAGTTCTAGCATTGTCGATCCATAAAACTTTTTGTTATTGTTATATTATAAAGGCTACTATAATGATTGTTGTAAACATTATCATAAATATAAATAATCTACAGGAGATACATAATTTTAAGAACTTAATGTAGAAGATCTGACTATTTCATGAATAAAATATAGTTAAAATTTGTATCAGGTAGGCAGACAGTATATTTGTTTTAAACAGAATTGTCTGGAAATGTGTAAATGACTGTGTCTTTTTTTCTCTGAAGTTCCAATGAAGTGAGATCTTTTAGAGATGAACTCTTTCTAAGAAAACATTGGTGGTCTCTGTTAAATGTGTTCACATGGAATATTCTAGAATATTGGAACTGGGGAGAGCCTCATGGTCACCTACTTTAGTCTCCTACAAAGCAAGTAACTGACATCCAGAGAAGTTTCCATGTTGTATGGAGTTGTTAGGAAAGGTTAGAAGTGGAGCTCTGTCTTTTGGCTACCAGTCTAAGATTTTCTCCAAGATTTGCTCTGATGTAGTATAGGCAAAAATGCTGGGATGCATTTGTGTTCTTGTTGTAGTTTTTACAATGGATAGTTTCAATTGGATAGTCACAAAATACAACTGCTTAATTCCTACATTTCATCATCCTCTCCAATAATCAATATATAGCTAATTTTGTATTATTTGTACTCATTATTTTGAGTCAAATCTCAAGCTTCCTATTTCACTTACATAAAGATCTGATTTGCAAAGAAATGTAAACACAGTCTCATTACAGATAAAAATCAACAGCCCGAGAGCTGTGGTCATATTTACCAAAGTATCCTTAAAAAATAAACAACAACCTGATTTTTGAATGGCAACTCCTTTGTACCTACTTAAAGATAATAAAGATATAATTAAAAAACATTTTCTTGAGGGGGTGAACATGATCAAAGTACTTTATATGCATATATGGAAATGCCATAATGAAACTCTTATTATTACAATTCAGTATATGCCAATAAAGCAAAAACATTTGCATTGGGACACAAAGAAACTGCCTGCACATTGTGGACAGTTAGTGTGTCTGCTAATTCTTTTCTGATAAGTAAGTGCCACCTCCTAACTTGTTTCCCTTGTCACTTATTGTTGAAGAAACTACAGCTTCCTACAGTCTGGACGTTGCAGGCTGTGTCCCAGTGTTAAGTAATATGTTGTCAGTACTTACTGTACATTGGTAGTTGGCTCTAAACTTGTTTAGATACAAATCTGATATGAGGGGTAAGGGTGGTAGTCAAGACCCCTTTCAGAAGTTGACATTTATTTTTTTAGTATATTTTTTTTATCGTAAAGATACTGTACAGAGGGGTTACAGTTACATGAATAAGGTAATGAGTACATTTCCAATTGAGCATTGTTTACTCAGAAGTTGACATTTATAATGTATACTTTGAGAAAGGTGCTGAATTCATTTTTAAGTTAGCATGTGTGAATCATGTGTTAATTTAAGGGTTTCATTGTGAAACTTCCATGCATGCATGTAATGTACTAGATCAGATTCACCCCCTTAATCTTTCTGCTCTCTCCTTCCTTTTAAACATTTACGTTTTCGTCATTCTGTTTTCACACGCGTGTGAAGTTCTTGGATTGCACTCACTCCCATCACCCTCTCTTTTTACTTTTACCTGTTTGGCTCATTCCTACCTCCAAACAGACCCTTCATTTTACACTTGTGCCATTCAGGTGGGTTTTTGTTGTTGTTGTTGTTTTTAGGGCTAGAGTCTGCATATGAGAGAGAACATTAGATATTTGTCTTTCCTACTCCATCTATTTTCCTTCTACTTTTTCCATTTTACTCTCTGGCTGAAACAATAGTGCCTTTTAATGGACTCTTAGCTTTAGTTACAACCACATCTGAGTTCTAAAAGACTGACAGCCTTAAAAACAATCAAGTCCCATAAAGAGTAGATGTATGTAGGAATTTTAAAGTCTGGAGTAATTAAAGTGGTTTTGAAAGAAGAAAGCTGTGCTTTGTAATGAAGGGTGAACTTTGATTCTCTAGTTGGTAAGCGCAGTGTTTACAGAAGTGTCACTTTGGAGACAAACTATTTGTTTCTGGTTTGCATCTGTTGTGTCTCCAAGCAGCTGGAATAGCATGTTAACACATTAAATGAGGGCTTAGAGGAGACAGCTCTGCAGCAAACCTGGGATTCATCCATAGTGTTCTAATAATTGGTTGATAATGATGATTTGACAAAAAGTCTCCGAATGGCTATCACCCTTGGAGTATGTGTAATTTAGCAGAAATTTGCTTTCTGTTTTGTATAAATTTCCTGCTTCTAAAACCATGATGCTGTATTTTAGAATGATTCATTCTGCATCATGCAGGACTGTTGAATACATTGTAACTGAAGAAAGCGCTGTCAGATGTCGAAATGCACATAGAACGGTTAGTTTCATAGACTAAATTCACATTGTACATTTTAACTGGACTGTTACAGGGAAGCTATTCTTTGTCTCATGTGTATACACCAAATGATGTCCGTATGGTTCTTGAGTATGCCCGCTTACGAGGGATTCGAGTCATACCAGAGTTTGATACTCCTGGACACACACTGTCTTGGGGAAAAGGTAAGGAGTCTGTGTTTTATAAGTTGTAGAAAGTAAACACCTGAGCTCCCCCCCCCCACCCTCATCTCTTATTTTGTAGTTTGGTGTTTGGCTATTTTGTTCCTGGGTTTAGGTGGGGAGGGGCAGTACTAAGGCTTGACTGAATTCAGGGCCTCATGCTCACTAGGTATTTTGTTCTTGGGTTGGGGGAAGGGACAGTACTGGGGCTTGAGCTCAGGATCTCATGTCCTCCAAGCTTGACTTGAGCCACACCTCCACTTCTAACTTTTTGCTGGTTAATTGGAGTTAAGAGTCTCGGATTTGTCTGTTCAGGTTGGTTTTCAATGGTGATCCTCAGTTCTCAGTTTCCGAGTAACTAGGATTATAGGTGTGAGCCACAGTGATATTTTGTTCTTAATTGTGGTTGACACCATGGTAGCACTATTGGCACACGTGATTCAATAATTATCACATGTCTACTGTCAATAAGGCACTATGTTTTGATATTGCCTAAGATATCAAAGCCTGTGGGGGGGGGGTCATGGAGCAGGGAGACGAAGCCATGATAACTGACCTTCTGAATCAGAAAGTCTGGTGGCTAACACTTTTGAGAGACCAGGATGATAATTCATGATTCTGATAGAGGGAAGAACAGGAAGAAAGGCATGTGAAAAGTGAGAGGTACAGTCAAGTCTTTTAGTGGGAGTAGAGCATGGCCAACAGTAGGAGACTGTTAGTGGTAAGAACCAGCTGTGAAGTCTAGCTGCTTGAGCTTTGGATTCTGCTTTTGCCATTTAGAAACTAAATCTTGACTGACATATGCGACATTTCATTTTAAGTGCCCTCAACTGTAAAATGAAGCTGGTAATAGTAGCTCCTGTGTAATTTTTTTTTTAGGATTAAATAATGACCACAAGGGATATAGCAAAATATAGAGCATTTACAATTGTACAGTGCATTGTGTTATCGTGGTAGGCAAGGGAATAGTGACTCTGGAAAAGTTCATGACTGAAGGCCTAGAGAGAGGCCTTCACTGCCTGAAAAACCAGGGCAGAGGAGTCTAAGCCCAAGAGTGATCAGATGGATTCATATTTTGTGAAAACCTTTGTGGATGTGATAGATTGGAGGGGGAAGGAGACGAAGTCCTAGAATTGGGGGGGGGGGATGGTATGGAAATGAATGGAGAGACATTCTGGAAATATACTTCATAGTACTTGGCCTTCTACTGACTACAGGAAAAGGAATGAGTCCCAGAGTTTTGTGTACCCTCGCCTAGAATAAGGCAGTCAGAAGCTAGAGAGGGAATTTAGGGAATGGAGACTTTGATTTTTGTTGGGTCATAGCTGAAGTACAGCTAGGATTTCCAGTTGAACTGAGCAGGGAACTTGAGATATGAATTGAAGCTTAAGAAAAGGGGTTGGAATAAGCGGAAGATCTGGGAATCATTTGAAATAGATAAAATCTCAGGGACTGGAAGAAACATCAAAATAGAAGGATTCAGAAAGTAATGCTCTTTCCTCTTGGAAGAAACTGCCATAGAAATTCTCAGTAAATATGCTTATCTTTTCTGTATAAAATCTCCTAAAACTTCAATAAAATGAAGTTCAGTTTGTCTAAGATCTTTTTGATTTTATGATGGTGTTTCCAATAGAAACCATACTTCGAATTTCAATCTTTTCCTGTACAAATGTCATGCTGTAGTGACATCCATTCAACAGAAATGGAACCTACCTAGCCTCAGCCCCCAGTGAGCCACACAATACATGCTCTATTGTGTGGTGTGTTGCTGAGCTATGGTATTTGGTAGTTGAAGTGTGTGTGTGTGCGTGTGTGTGTGTGTGTGTGTGTGTGCGTGCGTGTGTGCGCGCGCGTGTGTGTGAATGCATTTTTGGCTAAATGATGTGTTGAGCTTACTGTGGAGTCATTTGGGACGTAATACTGTCATTAGTAAAGGAGCATTCAGGGCATAATGGATAATGGGCAAAGCCTAGACTTTGTTTGTATTACCCTTTTCTGAAAATGGATCTTTGTGTTTTCCCGTAGGTCAGAAAGGCCTCTTGACTCCATGTTCCACATACAGGAATGCAGAACTAACTTTTGGGCCTATAAACCCTATTCTAAATACAACTTACACGTTCCTTACGACATTTTTCAAAGAAATTAGTAATGTGTTTCCAGATCAATTTATTCATTTGGGAGGAGATGAGGTGGAATTTCACTGTTGGTATGATGATTCTAAAACCTCTATCTTTTTTACCCTGTGGCATTGGAAGTGTAGAGATTAGGGGTTCCACATAAAAAAGGAAGATTTAGCATAATATTGCTAAACTGGACCACACAACTAGAGAGGGGGTTGAGTTTTGGAGAATGTACAGTTGGGTGGTGTGACCAAATAGAACTGAATAGTGGCTGTGTTATACTTTATTTTCCCATTACTAGCTTGGGATGGTGGGACCCAATAGTCAATCGATTTCAATGCTCAAGACTCTTTAGTTGAATGTAGAAACAAAGATGGACTTTTGTGATCTAGGAATACCTTAACCAGGGTGGTCATAAGAAGGAGATAGGGGAGGGACTGGGAAGGTGGCTCAGTGGTAAAGCGCTTGCCTTGCATGCATGAGGCCTTGGGTTCGATTCCTCAGCACCACATAAGCAGAAAAAAAAGCCAGAAGTGGCGCTGTGGCTCAAGTGGTAAAGCGCTAGCCTTGAGCTGAAGAGCTGAGGGACAGAGCCCAGGCCCAGAGTTCAGGCCCACGACCGGACACCCCCCCCCAAAAAAAAAAAAGAAAGGGGAATAACAAAAGATAGAGGGATAGCAAAAAGGTATGTAGTTACACAGGGGAGGGAAGGGTGGCCAGCTGAGCCACTTCAGAGTGAAAATGACAGATACTTGTCATCTACCATTTTGCCTCGTATAGCAGCACAACTGATGTTAAGGAAAGGTGTTGATTTCATAATAGACAGTCATAAAGGTCCATCAAACTGTGAAATTTTAATCATTGGTTTTTGTTTGTTTAAGGGCATCAAATCCTGCAATTCAGAGTTTCATGAAGACAAAAGGCTTTGGTAGTGATTTTACCAAACTAGAATCTTTCTATATTAAAAAGTAAGTCATTTGAAAACTAACTTACTAATGTTTTCTTGAAAATATTGAAGCTATGTAGTACTGTGCTTTTGTTTATTTTCCCCCCTCCACCTCTTTGCAAAGTGTAGATGTGAAAAGTCACTAAAGAAAGCGATGTGATGGGTTGGGAATGTTGCTTAGTGGTGGAGTGCTTGTCTAGCATGCATGAAGCCCTGAGTTCCATTCCTCAGTACCACATACACAGAAGAAGCTGGAAGTGGCACTGTAGCTCACATGGCAGAGTGCTAGCCTTGAGCAAAAAAGCTCAGGGACATTGCCCAGACCCTGAGTTCAAGCCCCAAAGTTGGCAAAGAAAAGAGAAAAAAAGAAAGAAAGAAAGAAAGAAAAGAAAAGAAAAGAAAGGAAAGAAGGAAGGAAGGAATAAAAGCAAGCAAGCAAGACATATGAACACACTGCATTCAATCACTCTTTCCCTCCCTTCCTTTCTTTTTCTCTTTCCCCTCCTTCCCTCCCTCTCTCCTTCCCTCCCTCCCTTCCTTCCTTTCTTTCTTTCTTTCCTTTCCCTCCTTCCCTCCTCCCCTCCTTTCCTCCCTCCCTCCCTCCCACCCTTTCTCCCTTCCTTCCTTCCTTCCCTCCCTCCCTCCCTCCCTCTCTCCCTCCCTCCCTTCCTCCCTCCCTCCTTCCCTCCTTCCTTCCTTCCTTCCTTCCTTCCTTCCACCCTTCCTTCTTTTTGGTGCCATTCCTGGGGCTTAAACTCAGAGACTGAGAGCTGACCCTTAACTTTTTAGCTTAAGGTTAGCAGTCTACCACTTGAGCTGCAGCTCCATTTCCATCTTTTTGGTGGTTAATTGGAGATGTCTCATGGACTTTCCTGTCCAGGGTGGTTTTGAACTGTGATCTTCAGAACTAGGTGGACTCTATCTTTTGCTTCCTACCTATTGTTATACAATATAGTAGCCCAGTCCAGTCAAATGGGGTTTGTTTTCAAGTTAATTAAAATTAAAGAAAACTGAAAGTTCAGTTCCTTAGTTGTACCAGCACATTTTAAGTGTTCCATAGTGGTGAGGCTGGTGGCTTCCATGTTAGAAAATGCAGATACAGAACATTCCTATCATGGCAGAGAGTTCTATTGGACCATGCTGCCCTAGTCTAGGGAATAGCAAACTGATCCCTTAAAGGGACAGAGCTTTAGGCTTTTAAACAAAGCTATACAGGCATAAAGCCATGCAGAAAAGAAGTTGCAGGCTGTTCCAGTGATTTGTAATACACGAATTCCAACTTGTCCCTATTCAGCCTTTCTGTGATAGGATTTTCTTACTTACTCTGCAGAGTACTTAGTATTGTCTAAATGTCTATGCAGTTGTAGCACATCAGTCAAAAGCTGATTGTTACTTAGGAGACATGACAGATTAGATGATGGTTTCCTTTATTCCAAGATCCCCATGAAATTACTGAGTACTGTTGGGCAGTTTCCTATGAGTTGCTTACCAAGTTAATTTAAGCTTAGTTCTTCCTGCTTTAAGGGTATACTTAGCTCAAGCACTCAAGCAAAGACTGTTAATCCCCACTACTATATTAGGTTCTATGCCCTTAGTAAAAAGGACTACTTGAGTTGCTACCTAATTTTACCTGGTTGTGCTATATAACTTTATTTATTTATTGGTCTTGATTTTGTGCCAATATTAGGACTGTTTTGTGCCAGGGCCTGGGTGCTGTCCCTTAGCATTTTTTGCTCAAGGCTGGCACTCTACCACTTCAGCCACACCTCCACTTCCAGATTTTCATTGTTTAATTGGAAATAAAAGTCTTACAGACTTTCCTGCCCAGACAGGCTTCAAACCCTGATCCTCAGATCTCAGCCTCCTGAGTAGCTAGGATTACAGGTGTGAGCCACCAGCACCTGATACTACATAGCTTTTATACTGAAACGTACCTCCCAAATTTTCTCCAAGTCCTGGATAAAAAAAATGTGTGGTTTTAACCATGTTGTTAAGGTGAAATAACTGTTTTTCTCCCAATCCTAGGCTTTTGGATATTATTGCATCTCTGAATAAGAGATCCATTGTCTGGCAAGAGGTTTTTGATAATAAAGCAAAGGTAAGAATTATGAAAAATGCATGTGATTCTGAAGATACAAGGATCTGCTCTTTCCTCTTCCTCACCCCTCCTTTCCATAGCTCATTATTACTCATAAATTGAATTATTTCGAATTCCCCCCCAAAGGTAGAACAGATTAAAAACAACTGAGCAATTTTATAGTAAAATTGTCAACATAACCTTTTTTTAAAAAATGTTATTTTTTTCTGTGACAGTTAATATCCTTTATGTGAGGCAAGAGAATTTGGTGGGGTTTTTTGTTTTTTGTTTTTTTTTGGTCAGTCGTGGGGCTTGAACTCTGGGCTTAGGCGCTATCCCTCCACCGTTCAGCTCAAGGCGAATGCTCTACCACTTGAGCCACAGTGCCACTTCCGGTTTTCTAGTGGTTTATTGGAGATAAGAGTCTCATGGACTTTCCTTGCCCGAGCTGGCTTTGAACCGTGATCCTCGATCTCAGCCTCCTGAGTAGCTAGGATTATAGGTGTGAGCCACTGACACCTGGCGGGGCAAGAGAATTTGTGAGTCACCTACTAGTATACTTTTCTTCTCTCTTTTTAATTTTTTTTTATCGTGAAAATACCATACAGAGGGGTTACAATTACATGGGCAAGGTAATAAGTGCATTTCTTATCAAGTATTGTTGCCTCCTCTTTTGTTTCCCCTTACTGTCCCTTCCTACTAGTATACTTTTCTAGAGAAGCTGGTACCCTCCTGATTCCAAAGTAAGCCAAGCATTAGTGTGGGAGAAAAGGGACTACAATTCAATGTCAGCCTCAGTGCTAAGATGGATGACACCACACATGCCATCTATGAGCAAAAGTTAAAATATCCAGCTTTCAGGTAGATGAAGCTGAGTTCAGTGATGGATGAAAATAGAGCCAACTTTTAAAAAGAAATGGGTATTTTTTTCCCTTTAGGATTTTAGGAAGTTGTGTTTTTAGCTAGCTATAATACCTTTGGACTGTGAATCCATCAGTTGCATTTGTAGTTCTAATAATATGTATTGCAATTTGTGTTCTAGCTAGAATGCTTGAGGCTGTCAGTTCATCTATTTGCTAGGTCTAATACATGTACTGCACTCTGTATCTTTTACAGCTTCACCCAGGCACGATAGTTGAAGTGTGGAAATACGAAGATTTTTATGAAGAACTAAGGAAAGTCACAGCGGCTGGCTTCCCTGCAATCCTTTCTGCTCCATGGTACTTGGATTTAATTAACTATGGGGAAGATTGGAAAAAATATTATCAAGTGGAACCTTTAAAATTTCATGGTAAGTGACCACCATTATTGCCTTGATTGTTTTCTTCCCTAGCCTTCCACTCAGGAAACCTAGCCTACTGTTTTCCCTGTTGTTTCTTAATTTTACCTAAAAAACCCAAACACTTCAGAATTATTTTAATGACCGAGATTAATCTAAACAAAAGGAATTCAGAAGTAGATCCTCTCAGATTCTACCTCCAGTTGTCACTGATTTGAAAGATGTTTGGCTGTGTTCTATTGTAGGACACTTAGTAAAGGAATACAGTGTAAGGCTATATAGTCCTTGTTTTTTTTTTTTTGCCAGTCCTGGGGCTTGAACTCAGGGCCTGGGCACTGTCTCTGAGCTTCTTTATCTCAAGGCTAGCACTGGGCTTTTTATGTTTATTTGGTGCTGAGGAATTGAACCCAGGGCTTCATGCATGCTAGGCAAGCACTCTACCATTAAGCTACATTCCCATTGATCCTTGGAATTCTCGAGTCAAGGGCAATGAGAGGAAATGTCTGAGAGGTGACATCCCTCCTCCCCGCAAATCCTCCCACCTGCTCCCAGTACTGGGGTTTGAATAGAAGGCATTCACTTTGCTAGGCAGGTGGCTTGATCACTTGAGCCTCAGCTCCAGCCCTTTCTGCTCTATTTATTTATTTATTCGTCTTATTTATCTTTTTGTTGTAAGTGTGCCAGTCATGGGCTTGAACTCAGAGCCTCGGTGCTGTCCCTAAGCTAGTGCTCTACTGCTTCAGCCACAGCTTCTCTTCTGGCTTTTTAGCAGCTAATTGGAGACAAGAGTTTCATGGACTTTGCTGCCCTGCCTGGCTTTGAACCATGATCCTCAGATCTCAGCCTCCTGGATAGCTTAAATTAAAAGCACCCAGCTTGCTCCCATTATTTTTAAATTGGATCTTTCTTGCCTTTTGTTTGTGCTAGCCTGGACCACAATCATCCTATTTTCCATGTAGATAGGATGACAGGTATGCCCCACCATGCCCAGCTTTTTATTAGATGAGATGGGATTATTTCCTACTTTTTGTTTGGGAAATCCTTGCACTTTTGATCCTCTTGTTCTCAACCCCCTAATGATTATAGGCATGAGTCACTTAATCTTTAGTACAAAATTTCCTTGGGAAAAAAATTTTTCTATGAAGTTTTAGAACTGTAGTACTATTAAAAGTTGATGTTAGCTCCCTCTAGAAAGCATTCCATAGGGATCAGAAAAATCATGGTTACTATAAAAATAGTTATTAGTTGCACACTCTTAAAAATACTAACAGGTATAAATTGGAGGCAGGCATTATAGCGGTCATAGCTCATTAAAATGTAGCAAGTATTTAACTTTTATCTCTCAGCATGCTGTTAGTGCCAACTAACTGGGAAAACTGGATTCTGGTAGCTGAATAACTGTATAAACCAAAAGAAGCCAGGTGCCAGTGGCTCACACTGTACTCTGTATTGTACTCTCAGGAGGCTGAGATCTGAAGATCACAGTTTGAAGCCAGCCTGGGCAGGAAAAGTACATGAGATTTTTTTTTTATTTCCAATTAACCACCAAAAAGCTGGAAGTAAATCTGTGGTTCAAGTGGTAGAGGGACAGCTTTGGGCAGAAAAGCTTAGGGATAGCACCCAGGCCCTAAGTTAAAGCCCAGGACCATCACAAGAAAAGAAGAAAGTACTTTTAGTACTGGCCTATTACATTGTGTTGACAAATACTATGATCCATGTGGGTTAGGGGAATGTGGTCCTAGAAGGGGAATTGCTGTCCTTGTGTTCTGGCCTTGCATGGCCTTGCTGATATCCTTTCCATGTTGTTACTGGAGGTTCTGAGACGCAGAAACAACTCGTCATTGGTGGAGAGGCCTGTCTGTGGGGAGAATATGTTGACTCAACTAACCTCACTCCAAGATTATGGTAAGGACCTGGAAATATTTGAGTTAATTAAGATGTCCTAGTTTCAGGAAAGCACTAGGAATTGCCCTAAGCATATGTCTTTGAAACTTTGTGCAACAGTGATTTACTAGATAAATGTGTTGAAAAAGATCTATACAACTTGTGTGTGAAGATGGGAGGGAAATACTGAGAGAGAGAGCAAGGGATGAGGTGACATTGTCCAAAATGAAGTGTACTTTTTACCTGACTTATGTAACTGTAACCCCTTTGTACAACACCTTAATAATAACAATTAAAATTTAAAAAGAAACTCTTTTGGAGATACATGGTTTCAATTTTAGGCCTCGGGCAAGTGCTGTTGGTGAGAGACTCTGGAGTCAAATGGATGTGGTGGATATCCAAGATGCCTACGACAGGCTAACACAACACCGCTGCAGGATGGTTAGGTAAGAGAAACAGTTGGATTTCAAGCTAGGATCCTCTCAGGTGTTAATGAGGAATCCTGCCCCCACCCCCACTTTCCTTAGGGCACTTTGGTGTAAATAGAAATGTCACCTAACAAATGGTGATTAAATTTGGAGAAATTGGGAATTGGGAAATAGCTTTTATGAGTGTTTTATAGAGAGTTATAAAATGTTTACTGTAACTTATAACTCACCTACCATGTCAGAGAACTTAGTAGCTTAAATCAATCTACAGCAACTTCTATTCATGTTGTCTGTCTTTCCTCAGACGTGGAATAGCTGCACAGCCCCTCTTCACTGGATACTGCAGCCATGATCAAATCTAACAAGGAACTGAAACAGAGCAGGAGGGAAATCCCACAACTACCAGCACTGCAGTCATTGTGCAATCATGTCAATTAAGATGTTAGGCCTTATTTTGAATAAAATATTTTATTGATTGAATCTGTCTTATTTTATATTACGTACAGAAGACTGGCATCATTCTGTGAGAAACAAAACAGACCACTGAGTCTTAACAACTCCAGTAATAACTTCCTAAGAACAACTTCAGATGTGTTTACTGTAAAAGAGCACATACTATTTTCTAAAATGGGCAGCTCTGGTGTTATTGACAGTTTAAGTTGTGTCTTTTATCCAATACTCTGAATGTGCTAAAAGTTCTGGCCTGAAAGTGAAAATGAAGCAGGTGGGAGACGCTCCTGAACTTCTTTCCATTTCCACAGACCTAAAACACTTAGGCAGAACCACTTCTCTGGCTGAGCAGCATGCTTTGGTCTTGAGGACTCATGGCTTGATAAGAAGACAATTCTAAGGCAAAAGTCGCTGAGCCTGATGTGAGTGTCCGAAGCACAGTTGAATAACCCTAAAACAAAATACTTTACGTTTGTTATTACATCAACTTTAAACCTTCAGTTTCTCATGCTACTGATTATTTTTGGACTACTAGCATAGAAAGGTGGTGATGGTAATGAGGAGGAGGCTTACCTCAGACAGATCATTTCACTACCTTTTCAGAAAAAGTGGCTATGGAAATGTTGTGGGGACCACAGTCAAGTGCAGGAAGCTGCAGACATTCTGAGACCCTGGCCCGTGTGAGGTGACTTCCCCCCATCCTCATGCTTTTCTGCTTGTCCAAGAGCAAAAATAGGTGGGAGCGAATACTGCTGACCTCAAAGCCAAGGCAGAAGAGATAGAGAAGGGAAGTATGGTCATGCATATTGATGCTGCATTTTTGTATGGTCTCAAGCGTGTGGCCCTTGGCCTGGAAAAACCCCTGAAGTGCTGCATTTTCTGCATTCCCTAGTTTCAGTGTGAAGTCCTCTCCATTCCTGGTGGTTGGAACTTAACATGTATTCTCTAAATCAAAGCACCGTGGCCTTCAGGTGTTAGTGGCCACTTACTTGTACTTGATATGCTTACTTCCTTATATTCAAAAGAAGAATGTGATATACTTAGCGGAGGACTTCACAGGCATTACTCCTCTGAACAACTAATGGGCTATTTATCAAAATGAGTATCAGGAAGTAGAAACATGTTTTGTTGGGAGAGGGCAAAAGGGAGTGCACAGGAATGGAGGGAGGAAGGCTGAGCAAATGAAGTCAGTGCATTCAATGTACATTGTGTAAAAAACTGAGCTACATAACTTGAGGCTAAGGATGGGAGGAGCATCTAGAGGAGAATGAAGGAAGGGGTGACACTGATCAGGAAGCATAGGCTCAAAACCTGATTTATGGAATTGTACTACTAAGTAGTTGTACAAAGTATAATAATTTTAAAAAGAAATTGTCCTCTTCAAATAGACGTTTGTTAGAACAAAAAGAACACATACATTTCAACTGCAAAGTACCTACCATAATTTCTGCTAAGGGAACAAATCCAATAACAACTCTGTTGTCCTGGCGAGTCTGGATTTCCTGAATGTTGCCTCTTCTTTGTGCCAGGTCTGCCAGGACAGGGCTGAGGTGATCTCTGGTCACTGTAACTTCCAGATTCATCAGAGGTTCTAATACTTGCTTGTCAGCTTTCTTTAGAGCCTAAGCAGATGAAGAAATACGGTTAAAAAAATGGCTAGCCTCTCTTTCATAAATTGGAAATCAAATTCCAATTAAATAAAATAATTAATCATAAGATTTCAATTAAACTAAGATTTAGGAAAACTGAAACACTCCAGCCTAGGGCTTTGCCTTTACTCTCTCCTTTGAGATCATACTTGATTATTATTACACTTACTAGCCATACATCCAAGAGGGTAACCAAGGAGGCAAATGAAGGAGAGCTTAAAAAGACACCAAAAATATTCAACACAATACAGTAGAAGCATGTTTTCTATTTGAAATAACTTTTTCTTGCATAACATTTGACTTCAAAGGCCAAGAAAACATTCACATAAACAAAAGAATAGCCAGCTGCCAGTCCTGCCTATAATCCTAGCTACTCAGGAGGCTGAGATCTGAGGATCACAGTTCAAATCCATTTGGGGCAGGGAAGTCCAGAGACTCTGTCTCCAATTAAGCACCAAAAAAGCTGGAAGTAGAGCTCGCTCTGAGCACAAAAGCTCAGGGACAGCACCCAGGCCCAGTACCAGCACAAAACTTGAAGGATAAAAAAAAAATCAACAGGGAAGGGATTGGAATAATTTCTTAAGAGTCGGAGGTAGGAGGACTGTGAAGCAATAGATTCTTTTCCTCTTCATCTTTTCCTTAAAAATACCGCCTGACTGCAGACTTCCGAGACACTTTCCACGTGGCTTCCCCAATAATACTCCTCCAACCATGGTCTCCGAGTGTCCCAGTCTTATTCTCCACAGGTCTGTTGCAGGGTAGGGTCTGAACACCCCATAGCTCCCCAGTGTGCCCTACACTGAGATCACCGTTTTGTTTTCCAAACATTTCCTTGCCTTTTTATTTCTGGTGATGGTTTTGGCAGCCTTTGGCTTCCTTGTCTGAGCAAAGAATCATCTCTATTGCTGCTGCCCTAAGTTAGACACAGTCTGCTTCTTGTCTTACGCTGTGTCTTCCTACTCCAATCACCCTTAAACTCTATATTTTTATTTTGAAAAACTTTATTCTCTACTATGTTCAGTACAAATTCAAACTCCTTAACTGTAGTATTTGAGACTTTTTCTACAGAGACCCCACTTTACTTTTCCAACACTATTTTTACTGTTCCCGATTATCCTCCAATACTATAATGAGCCTGCCATGCCCTCTTATCAGGTTCAAATCCTCCCAAATCCCAGCTCAGATGGTTAATTCCTTTTCAACAACCCCTAATGCTCTGCTTCTCCATGTTTATGGCACTCCACTGATTATAATACTGTGGTTATATTTGATTCCATTCCCTTACCAAATCACAAATTCCTTTAGGTCAAGATTAATAAAATCCTACTAAGGAGGGAATTCTCGTGTCCAGTGAGCTATAAGAACAACATATTATATCAAAATAACAAAGCGAGAGAACCTCCATTAAGAGTATTCCATTTAGGTCAAATCGTGGTTGCATGCCTGTGATTCCCATTACTCAGGAGACAGAGTAGGAGGATTACAGTCCGAAGCTGACCCAGGCAAAAGTGTGAGACCCCCATCTGAAAAACAAACTAAAAGGCAGAAGGACTAGGGAATGGCTCAAGTGGAAGAGTTCTTTCTTACCAAGTACAAGGCTCTTGAATTTAACACCCAGCACTATGAAAAACAAGACAACCCTTCCCAAGTCCCCATCTAAATGTAAGCTCCCACACAGCTATTTCATGTTTTCATCTTTCCTAGGACTTGCACTCAGGGCTTGGGCACCTTCCCCGCCCGAGCTTTTATGCTCAAGGCTAGTGCTCTCTACCACTTGAGCCAAGGTTCTACTTCATCTTTTTGGTAATTAGATATAATAGTCTCACAATCTTTCCTGCCAAGGCTGGGTTTCAACTGCTATTCTCACATCTCAGCCTCCAGAATAGCTAGGATTACAGGCATAAGCCTGGAAATTTCATGTCTTCTAATGTGATCTTACTAAAAAGCTAATTAACCAAGTTACGCACGCACACACACACACACACACACACACACACACAAACACACGTGTGTGTGTGTTCGTGCCCATCCTGGGGCTTGAACTCAGGGCCTGGGAACTGCCCCGAGCTTTTATTGTTCAAGGCTACTGTTCTATTATTTGAGCCACAGCTCCATTTCCCACTCTGGTTAATGGGAGTCCCACAGGCTTTCCTGCCTGGCCTAGCTTTGTGCTGCAATCCTCAGTTCTCAGCCTCCTAGGTATAATCCTAGCTAAGCTTATAGGAGTAAGCTATCAGTGCCTGGCTTACAAACATTAAAAAGGCAGTATTTATAGTTTGGAGTCAATATATTTGGGATTAATTCAGAACTATAACTTTTTGACTACTATTATTTCAATATTTTAAAACAATTTAAAATTAATATTCTCTCTCTCTCTCTCTCTGACTAGGGCTTGAACTCAGGCCCTTTCCCTCTTGCGTGGCTTTTTTCATTCAAGGCTGGTGTTCTATCACTTCAGCCACACCTCCACCTCTAGCTTTTCAGCCTCCTGAGCAGGGGCAGGTGTGAGCCACCGGTGCAGATCTTTACTTTAAAATTCTTTTGTTTTTTGTGGGTTATAAGGCTTGAACTCAGGGCCTGGGTGCTGTCCCTGAGCTCTTTAGATCAAGACTAGTATTCTACCACTTTGAGCCACAGCTTCACTTCCTAAAATTCTTTAAATTGGATAGTCTCAATAATATAATTATGACTATCTGTGATATGTCTAAGTCTAGTTTTAGGTGAACAAATTTAAATAATTTTCTCAAAGCATAAGTTTTTTTACTTTAAAAAACAAAGCTTGTAAGGAATTGTTAGTTTGGGGATAAGGAAGAGTAGTAATGAGGGATGAATATGATCAAAATATATTAGATGCATATATGGTAATGTCACAAAAACTCAAATTGTATAATATGCACTAATAAAAATGAGAAAGAGTATGAATTTAGGGGTTGAGGTTTAGTCCTGAAATTGAGTAAATGCTCAGCATTCATTAGGCCCTGGGTTCAATAAAATCAAAGTATGGATTTGAACTCATGGAAGATACATTAAGTTCAAAGAAGGGTGCTTATGGATTCAAATACAACTCAGCTCTCAAAAGCAGTTCAAGCATAAGCAGACAATAATAAAAAGCAAGTATTATCATGTAAAGTCAAGCATTCAAAATCTGGGGTATTCCAGTGCTGACAATGCACAAGATCAGGATGTAGCTCTCAGCACTCCAAGGAGCCGATCCAGGTCTGCTGAATCTCTGAGGCAGGAAGCCGAGGGTCCATGAACATTCAAGGACATTTCTTGAGGTGATCACGATTGATACTTTTGAGAGGGAAAGTGTTTGTCCTGAACCTGTTATTCAGTGGCTCTTATCTGGTTTCTTAATGACAGCAATCTTATTTGAATAAACATGAACTCTAAAACTGGAGCCAACATATCTTTAATATCCCCTAGATTATAGCTGAGGGCCAAGCTAACTTCAGATGTGTTACTCAAATATATCTGGCTTGCCTTCAATGGCTGCACCTGGAATGAGAACATGGATGCCACTTTAATAGTAATGGATGTGACCAATAATTTCTAAAATCCTCTTTCGAACCCAAACCTAATGATTAAGAAGGAAAAGCTCCTGCACGATAAGCACTCTTGCTGGCTTTAGACTGAGGAAGCAGGACATAAGGCTCTGTGAGTACAGCTGCCTGGGGGCTCAGTGGTGCTATGCACACAGCACAGTGGCCTTAAAGCAAAAGACTGGGTTTATACCTTCTGTACACATCTTGAGACACAGGCAGAAATCATAGTTGTGGAGGTTCCAGGATGAACTGTCAGTGAATACAAAGTAACTGCCACATCTTGAACTGGTGATCCAAGCAATGGTCCTGTGCAAGGGGAAAAAAAAGCGCCCACTCTATTGGGATTCAATATGTAGTGAGGAGTAAGAGAAGTACAAAAGAATAGGAGAAATGGAGATAATCTGTAACACATGGTATGATAGGTGGCTGAGAGTGTGGTTGAGGAGTAAACACATTGCATGCAAGAGATCCTGGGTCCAATCCCTACCACACACACACACAAACAAAAGAGAAAGAGCAAATGCTCAAGTGGGAAACCATGCTTACTCTTATTTGAGGACCTTACCTTGAAGGCATGCACTGTGGATTCCACTTTCAATAGCCTCCTGAGAGGCCTTCAGAAGATCTTCACTGATACTTTCAGCATACTCAATTACTGGCTCCACAGATGGAGCGTCTGTTGGCCTTGCCTCCAGTTCTACAGCAACAAGATGTCGTTTGTCTCCTAAAGTTCTATCTAAGGTATCTGAAAACAAATTGATTATGGTAGCTCAGAACATTGTTCTGGAAAGGAGTCAAAGTGTGGAAATAGTCAAAACTGAAATTAATAGAAGCAATGTCTTATAGAGGATGAAGTAGAATATTAGTAATGATGCTAAGTAGAAGCACAAAGCATCTCCTTCCATGTTTATCAGTGTTAAAAAACCTGCTCTGAGTCACTTATTGTTTTTGTCATAAGGTGTTGAGGTAGGTGATGTGAAGATTATACTTTAAAACTTGGCAAACTGTCTTTTGTGATTGAAAATTCTTTTAATTATAAACATTTTATTAAAAAGTAACACTGAAAGGATGAAACATTCACAGTGCAAAAGGCTAGCTCATGAAAACTGAGGTCTTTAAAAAACTCTGCCAGTTCACAAATTATTAAATTGCATATGTTTTTTAGCATTAGGTATAAGTTCCTATTTATCTCCTTTTCAAAAACTAGTAAAATGTGTGTGAAGGACTAAAAACAGTACTTCTTACTTGTTAATACAGTAACTGCTATCAATCTCTGATACTTTACTAAGACAAAACTCTGCTATATTTATGTATGTGATTATGGAACACAGTAATTCATGGTTAGATTCAAAGCTATTAATGCAGCCGGGTGCTGGTGGCTCATGTCTGTAATCCTAGCTACTCAGGAGGCTAAGACTTGAGGATCACAGTTCAAAGCTAGCTAGGACAGTAAAGTCTCCATTAGACTCTTATCTCCAAAAAACTACTCAAAAAAGCCAGAAATGGTGCTGTGGCTTAAGTGGCTGAGCACTAGCCTTGAACACAAAGAGTCTCAGGGACAGCACCCCAGGCCTGAGTTCAAACCTAGGACTGACCAAAAAATAAAAATAAAAAACAAAACACTATTAATCTACAATTAGTCTACAATTCTCCAAAAATTCCTTTTGAGCTCATTTTTATATCATGAAATACTTTTATTAAGGAATGTATGCAAACACTAAAATTAAATGAATATTCATGGTTTCTAAAACTACTAAAGAGATTGCCAGTACTAAGTAGACTTAAACAGCTACAGTTTTATCCTATGTCATCACATTATTTTTCTTAGTTACATCATATCTGCATATATCTCTAAATAATAGCTTGCATCTGCTTTGTTTTAAATTTGTTATTCTATGTATTCTGTAACTTGCTCTGTTGTTCCGCGTGCCTATGGGACATTCAGGCTATTTTCCAACTACTGTCTTCCTCAACCCCTGTAGTAGGGCTTGGCCTTCTATTATGAAGAACCCTTCATCTTCTTCCAGTTCTTATCTATCGTTGTAAGTATAGATTCATGAATTCATGTACCTCCCCCTTGCCCACAGGTCTCAAATTATTGTACTTCATTGAGTTAATGCAACAGATTTGAATGAGGGGCCTCTTAAAACCTGTTCCTGAATCATAATATGCCTCCACTGTCTTTTTTTTTTTTTGAGCATATTCTTTCTTTCATATGGCATAACATTCCATGGACTCCTTGTTCATGATTTTAAAATCTATGAGCATGTAACTAAGTTCTTGAAGTCATTCAAGTCATACTGGTTCTATGTTACCTGTGGCATGAACTGAGTTTAGGATGGTCTCTCGGTATGCCACCTGGAGAGGCCCCAGATAGGTCTCCAGGCCATATTCTCTCTTGATCCGGTCATGGATTATCTCAATGTGTAACTCCCCCATGCCACACAGGATGGTCTGGTTGTAGAGGAAGAAAATAAATACTGAAGAAAAAAGGCATTTGTTATATAAACAAAAGGTATTAACATATATTTAAGGAGATTTTTCTTTTTTAAAATCAGTACTGGGTTTGAATTTAAGGTCTTTTTTCTTTGTAGGCAGGCACTCTACCATTTAAGCCATACTCTTAGCCTTTTTTTTTTTTTAATATTAGGACTCATTTTTGTTTGTTTTTTACCTGGGGACTACCATCCTCTCCTCTTCTATCTATGCCTCTGGTACTGCTAGCATTAGCACGCAGCACCATATCTGGCTTGTTGAGATAGGGTTGCTCTGGTTTTTACTTTTTGTTTTTTTCTTGCTAAAGCCAGCTTTGAACCACGATCTTCCTATTACCACCTCCCAAGTAGCTGAGATTACAAGGTTTGAACCACTATGCCTAGCGATATATTTAAGTAAATTTTCATTAATTTCATTTGCCCACCCCCTCTCTGTATGAGAAAGAACACAGTGCAAGGTATTCATATTTGTTCTATCTTGCCACTATCTCTGTAATGTGCCCACAGAGAACTGGCCTTTGCTCTTGGCTACTAGGAGGTGACCTCAGAATGTCTTCTCTGATTGAAGTGTCTTTGCCTAGTGCCTTTGTTCACCAGATAATCTAACAATATGATTTAAGATGTGGTCTTTGGAAAACAACATATCAACTCTGACCTCCAGAGAAGTAGAGAGGGCAAAGGTTCATACTTGCCTAGCAAGTATGAGGTCTCAAGTTCTAACTCCAATACAGGTAAGATAAAACAAAAAAGAAAATACAGGTACTAACTCTATACTTTGTGTACTCTTATTTTTTGTTCTTAAAAAAAATTTTTTTTTACTCTTAAATTGCATTGTTGCAAAGCATGGTGGCTCATCCTAGGTCGCTTAAAAAGAGCAGAAGGACTGGAACATGGCTCAAGTGGTAGAGCATCTGCTTAACAAGTGTGAGGCCCCTGAGTTTAGATGCAAGTACTGCAAAAAAAAAAAAAAAAAAAAGTATTGCCATCGTCATCAAAACAAAAATACAATTTTTAAAAAATTTACTTCTGAAAATCTACTTTGCATTCCCACAAAGAGATGTAGTATGTATTTTAAGGTCTTTTTTTTTTTTTGGTGAAGAATCATGAACATCTGATTTTCACTACATTTTATCCTTTTTTTTTTTTTTTTTGCTGGTCGTGGGGCCTAAACTCTGGGCCTGGACACTGGTCCCTCAGCATTTCAGCTTAAGGCTAGCACCCTACCACTTGAGCCACAGCACAACTTCTGGCTTTTTCTGCTTATGTGGTGCTGAGGAATCAAACCCAGAGCCTCAAGCATGCAAGCAAAGCGCTCTACATTGAGCCACTTTCCCAGCCCTTATCATTGTTTTATACCTACTTTAGAACCCACTTTCCTCCTGCATTGTTAGACTGAAATCCATCCCTTCTCCATTTTAGTGATCTGTGCTTTTATCAGAAAAGCACTTTTCTAAATCTCTCTCTGAAATGATGCTTTTATAAGACTTAGTGCCTAAGATTCAAGGCTTAAGAGTTTAAGCTTAGTCCAAAATTACATAAAAGGCAGTTTTACAGAAAGTCAAAAGTGTTGGGGAGCTGGTGGCTCACACCTGTAATCCTAGCTACTCAGGAGGCTGAGATGTGAGGATCGCTGCTCAAAGACAGCCCAGGCAGGATAGTCCCTAATACTCTTACCTCCTATAAACCACTCAGAAAACCAGAAGTGGCTGAAGGTAGTAGAGCACTAACCCTTAGTGGAAAAAACACAGGGAAGGTATAAAGGCCCTGTGTTCAAGTCCTACAAGAATTAGTTTTACAGTTAGTCAGAAATTTGTATTATGAATCAAAATTACCTTTTCTTTCAGAAGCATAGAACATACACATAAACACTATCATAGAAAGGCTTTTGGGATAAGAAGTAACATGCATACTTGTCCTGAGTCAGGATCTAGCTTCACTTTTAAACTGGGATCTTCACGCTGGAGACATTTCAATGCATGATCCAAGTCTAGGGGACAAACAACATTTTCTAGGTCACTTACTATGCTGTAATGGTAAAAAGAGATAAACAAATAAACACATTTTGAAGAAGAAAATTTCAGATATAAATGCTTTGTAGACTTTAAAACAAAGTAACATGATCATGATGACCACAGACTGAGTGACCTAAAAGGTACCTACAATAAGCCAATAAGCAAAAACCTCAGGAAAAAGAATTCCAGATAGTGTAAATACAGTGTAAAGAATGGTCTGCTTTTAGAAAAGCAGCAAGAAGGCCAATAGCCAGATAGAATGAGGAGTAGCATCAAATTAGGAGAGAGACATGGGACAAGGACATCATGGAAGGTCTTAGAGGCCATGGTGAGAAGTCTGAGTTTGCACTAGGAAGCCATTGAAGGGCCTTAAAAGGGACCAGTAACAGCTGAGCACCAGTGGCTCATGCTTATAATCCTAGCTACTCAGGAGGCTGAGATCTGAGGATCACGGTTCAAAGCCAGCACAGGCAGGAAAGTTCGTGAGACTCTTATCTCCAATAAACCACTAGAAAATGGAAGTGCCACTGTGTCTCAAGCAGAAGAGCATTCGTCTTGAGCTAAAGAGCGCAGGGACAGCGCCCAAGCCCAGAGTTCAAGCCCCACAACAGACAAAAACAAAAACAAAAAAGGACAGTAACATCACATGATCACATTCTGCAAAGTCCAGTCTTTGGAATCCCATAGATAGCACCATAAGAATAAGAGTAAGGAAGAATATAAAATGAGAAAAAAATGGTCAAGATATAAGAAAAATAGGGGCTGAGAATGTGGCTCAGTGGTAGAGCGCTTGCCTTGCATGCATGAGGCCCTGGGTTCGACTCCTCAGCACCACATAAGCAAAAAGAAAAATGCCAGAAGTGGTGCTATGGCTCAAGTGGTAGAGAGCTAACCTTGAGCTGAAGAGCTGAGGGACAGCGCCCAGGCCCAGAGTTCAGGCCCCACGACCGGACCCCCCTCCCCCCAAAAATAAAGATATAAGAAAAATAAAATAGGGGGAAGGGGTGGTTGGAGCGAGGGGAGGGGGGGAGATGGGAAGGGATGGGAAGGGGAAACAAAGGAGGAGGCAACAATGCTTAATAAGAAATGTACTTATTATCTTGGCCATGTAATTGTAACCCCTCTGTATGGTATTTTCACAATAAAAAAAAAAGAGATGTTAAAAAAAAATAAAGGGGGCTGCGAAGGTGGCTCAGTGGTAGAGCGCTTGCCTTGAATGCATGAGGCCCTGGGTTCGATTCCTCAGCACCACATAAGCAAAAAGTAAAAAACCAGAAGTTGCGCTGTGGCTCAAGTGGTAGAGAGCTAGCCTTGAGCTGAAGAGTGAGGGACAGCACCCAGCCCAGAGTTCAGGCCCCACGACTGGACCCAAAAAAATAAAAAAGAAAAGAAAAATAATAAAGGAGGTTATAAAATTCAAAGAATCTCTTAAGTAAAACACTAGATTTCCATAAGAAATGCTTACCAATAAATTCAATTAAAGTTTAATTCATTCACATAAAAATATTTTTGAAGGTATGCTATAACTATTTTACCTAAATTATCAGAGCACCAAAATTATTCATACCTGGCTGCTTAGCCACTGATGGGGGTTCGATGGTACAGAAGAAAACAGGTTCTGGAATCTCTACCCCAGCCAATAAAAGCCTGTCGGCATCACTGTTTTGCCTGTGCTTCTTTTCTCCCTCCTTTCTGGCTTGGCGAGCTGCAGCTAATGCACTAGACTTGGATGAGACAATAGTGTCTCCAGTAGCAGTCTGCAAGCAAACAAGACAACTCAAACCTCAAGAGGCTGCAGCCAGCACTTACCTTCTGCCTCCCCAAGAACCTCAAGGCAAAAGACTCTTTCGGACTTCAAAATTTTAATCATATTATATGACATTTAAATCATTTAAATATGACATTTCAAATATGACAAAATATCTTTAAAATATGAAGAATTCTAGTAAATCAAGATCAAAACAGAATTCTAATATGATACTTTCTTCTCATCAGAACTTAAGAGGAATAGATTTATAAAGCTCATTTTAACTTTGCATATTTGCTCAATTGACTAGAATAAGAACTCTATCCGAAATACTGCTACAAATATTCTAACAATGAAACATACATACACACATTCAAAATTCATTTGGCAAAACAAATGTATCTGCCTAAATTTTCAGTCACAACAAGACATTAAATAAAAGACATTAATACCAAAAAGATTTTTATTATAATTTGACAGAAAATAACTGACTAAACTACCCAATGAGAATACACTTGACCATACAGAAATCGAAAGCGTCAATGCAGAATTTGGCTCTTCTTTAAAACATAATTTCACTTTAATTCAACATCACAAAGTTTTGTGCTAGTTCCCTTCTCTGTAAAGACAGTCCTGCTTAAGCAGGACTCCACACAAACTTGTGGAGATCCTTCCAGTGCTTCAAGGAATAGATAGTTCAACACTAGAAGTCCAGTATCTACATTTTCAATATGGAAATTTCTCACCAAAAAAAATCCTGAAACTTGCATTTAACCACAAAGAGTTGAAAATGTTCAAAGTAACACTGTGTACTCAATGAGAAATTTAAAAAAAAAAGGAGAACTGAACTTGATTTAATCATAAAAAAGAAATGTCCTTAGTTTTAAACTATTAAAACTAAGTGTTTTAGCATCAAGTGTTTTCATCTATTCATTCTAGGAGTACCTACACAATCCTTAACGATGTGCAAGCTCTGATCTATAAACTGAACAAAAGAAACCAAAACTTTTCCCCTGAAGGAGGCTTCATCAGCCAAATACCTTCTGTTACTACCTAACCAATTATATGGTAAAATTTTCTATAGAGAGCATATAAGGAGAAAAAAACCCAATGAGAATGAAACTATTTTAAGTAAACTTATAGCCTATATATGTATCCATGAAAAACATACTTTAAGTCAGATGCGGGTGGCTCAAGGCCTGTAATCCTAGCTACACAGGAGGCTGAGATGTGAGGATAATAGTTCAAAGTCAGCCCAGGTAGTAGAGACCATGAAAATTATCTCAAATTAACCACAACAAGTGGAGTTGTAGCTCAAGTTATAGAGTGCTACCTTTGAGCACAAAGGCTCAGGGTCAGAGCCCAGGCCCTGAGTTCAAGCCTGTAGACTAGCATGCATATGTACACACCACCACCAGGAAAAAAAACAACCCAGCATCAAAAAACCCCATAATTTACTTGGATTTGAACTATATGTGAATATAATCCCTCTTGGCTGTGGTCTGTTGTAATTTATTTTTCTAACAATGAGTAACATTCAACCATACTAATGGATATATACAGTATTTTCTATTCTAATGATGTCTATTTACATTGTTTGTGGACTTTTACTATTATAAAGTACTTACATAAGAGCAATATTTAAATTATTATCATTTATTATAGAGATCATTTAGTTACTTACATGTTTGAGCCCAACAGTCAAAGCAATGTTGCCAGCAGTGAGGGAAGGGATTTCTACATGTTGGTCAGCAAATGGCAAGAGTAGACGACTCACTCTCTCTCTACAAAACCATAATATAGATCTTTTTTTCCAGTAAAGTGCTTTTGAAGAAGTAAGTGCAGGTTTAGAAAATAACCTAATTTTCTACTTACGTGCAGTTTCCATTAACATTATGGATGGCCAGCTGGGGCTTCAATGTGCCTGAGTAAATGCGTATAAAAACCAGTGGTCCTCGCTGCCTGTCATGGAGAACTTTAAATGCCAGTGCACATAAGTCACCCTTATACCACGGGCTATAAAATAATGATACATTACAGAAAGTCACCCTTATACCACGGGCTATAAAGTAATGCTACATTACAGAAAGTCACCCTTGGGGCTGGGAAGGTGGTTGAGTGGTAGAGCGCTTGCCTTACATGCCTGAGGCCCTGGGTTCGATTCCTCAGCACCACATAAGCAAAAAGAAAAAAGCCGGAAGTGGCGCTGTGGCTCAAGTGGTAGAGTGTTAGCCTTGAGCTGAAGAGCTGAGGGACAGCACCCAGGCCCAGAGTTCAGGCCCCACGACTGGACCTCCCAGAAAGTCACCCTTATACCACGGACTATAAAATAATGATACATTACAGAAAGTCACCCTTATACCATGGCCTAGGAAACACACTTCCTATATGTCTATACAGATCACATCAGAATCACTATGAAAATGTAACAACTCACATCCTCCAAAGATCCGTCATACCTTTAAATAAAGCTAGCCAGGTCTGTTAATTTACATCACTAAATATCTCTTCCCCATTGGCTAAATTACTAAATGGAGATATTACTACTAAGTCTTCAAAAGTGAAAAGAACAGACTATCTTTAAATTATGACCTCTAACTTCATTGCTAAGAGTTCTCTCTTCAAAAAGACTATCTCCACCAGGCGCTGGTGGCTTACACCTATAAATCCTAGCTACTCAGGAGGCTGAAACCTGAGAATCTCGGTTCAAAGCCAGCATGGGCAGGAAAGTCCGTGAGACTCTTACCGACAATAAACCACCAGAAAACCAGAAGTGGCACTGTGGCTCAAGTTGTAGAGTGCTAGTCTTGAGCTGAAGAGCTGAGGGACAGTGCCCAGGCCCAGAGTTCAAGCCATGGGAATGCCATACCACTTGTCAAGACAACTGCACAGGATGACCAAATGGCTACTTGCCGGTGAGTGCCTTCACTCTTTCCTTTAGCCTTGTCCAGATACGTAATCATAAAAATCTATAGTAAGAATCTGAGTTTGTTTACAAAGATCACAATCTTATAGAATGGTGTTTTTCAATTGGTGTTCATAGGTAGGCTTTAGAAAGTTTGAATTTTCTTTAAATCGTCAAATTTTGTGTATAGGTACATCTTTTTGAAAAAATACCATGTTTTCATTAGTCTCAAAGAAATCCATGATCCCTAGATGACAGATCCTCTTCTCTGCATTTTATAGATGGAAGCATAAGCAACTTGGAATTTAAATCCAACATTACCAAGCCTAAATAATAGCTTCACAATGATGCCTTTCTACCTTAGAGATATGAAAAGTTATTAATGCCCTAGTTAACACAATTACAAACCACTTCTCTATTTTGTACAATGCTCATATATCCAACAACTATTACTTAAGTACAAAGCTGTTAGTGACAACAGAAATAAGACAGTGACCTTTCCTATAATTGCAAGTGAAATGAAATTATTTTATTTTCACTATAATTGGATGTGTCTTTTATCTCCTTTGTCTCTTGTATTTCTGTGTCTCCAAGATTCATTCTTTTTTTTTCTTTTTTGAGGTATGGAGGTGATACTGGGGTTTGAATTCAGGGCTTTTGTGTCCATAATATATCATTTTCAAAGACTTTTTTTCATCACAGTTATTCCAAATGGGTAGTGTAACTATTTTTCATTAAGTGAAGTCCACTGCAGGAATTCTACTTATATGACGACATACTTACAGAAATTCATACTCCCGCTCTTCAGGTGAAGGCAAGTACATAGTGATGGCATCTAGCAAGGGCTGGACACCTTTGTTTCTCAGGGCACTTCCACAAAGCACGGGCACTGCTGTTTGGGCCAGAGTCACTCTGTGTATTGCAGCCTGCAGCTAAGGTAAGAAAGTGGAGACAGTAAGTATCTACTTTGTGTTGAGTGTACTGTTTCTGCCAGAATCTCGCAAGGACGGGCCTTCCAAGCCACCCTTATAAAGCAGCCCTTCTCACCACATCTCCATCATCTTGCAGTCATCATCTTCTTTATAACACTAATCACTACACCTGGCACGTGAGATACTTATTAACTGTCTCTTGCTTATTAGAATGTAAAAATCCCACAAGTATTACAGTCTACCCGGTGAAAATATTACTAACTGTCCAGAAACTAGAAAAGTTTAAGACATAAGCAAGTAAAAGAATATGAATAAGTGAATTGATAATTTTGTGGTTCATCCACAGTTTAACAGAAGAACTGGAAATAAAAACCCACTTTATAATTACTTTTCTCAAAATAATTAGATCTAATATGTTAAAATCCAAAGGAAAACAAAAAATTAAAGTAGGAAACATTTTTTAAAAAGCACAGAAATCAAGGCTCTGGCAATCTACCTGCTTTTCCAGCTTTCAAAAAAGAACTGGTATGTCTGTTTTACTTTAGATTGTAAGCATGCTAAAAACAGAATTCATGTTGGAGGACAACAGGAAACACTACACATCAAACATTCAAATTCTAAGCAATAAGTTTTTAAATGATTTCATATAATTAAAAAGAAAAAGACTTTTTTGTACCTCTAATTTTAAGTAGCTGAAGAGTAGGTTCTTGTGTCTTTAATTAATTCATTCATTTTTGTAGTAGTGGGGTTTGAACTTAGGGTCTTGAATTTGCTCAGCTGGCTTGCTTTTTGGCTGACTACTTGAGCCACACCCCAAGCCTTGTTTCTTGCTGGTTATTTTGGAGATGGAGTCTAGTGAATTTTTCTACCAGGGATGGTCACAAAATGCAATCCTTCAGATTCCAGCCTTTTGAAGAGCAAGGATTACATGCATGAATTAAAGTGCTGGACTTACCTTCATTTTTTTAATGGCTGTTTTGAGATAGGGTCTCACTATGTAGCCCAAGTTGGCCCCAAACATACAAGCCTTCTGAATATCCCAAGTGCTAGGATTATAGAAATGAGCTACCATACCTGGTTTTATATTTTTTATGTGAATGATAGCTAAGTAAACTTGTTGGGCTCACTCTTGGTCCCATATTTTTTAGATTACCACAGTGAAACTTTCTTGGAAACTCTTAGAATCATAAAGGAAAATAAACAATATATTTGTCTAACAGGGAAAGGTATCTGGCAGATTCCTTGAGGAAATCTCATATTCAAATACTCTGAGTATCTCAATTTCCTCTTCGCAGTTTTAATGAATGTTAAAAGACAAAAAACTGGGGCTGGGAAGGTGGCTCAGTGGTAGAGTGCTTTCTTTGTATGCATGAGGCCCTCGGTAAGATTCCTCAGCACCACATAAGCAGAAAAAGCCAGAAGTGGGGCTGAGGCTCAAGTGGTAGAGCACTGGTCTACAGCTGAAGAGCTGAGGGACAGCACCCAGGCCCAGAGTTCAGGCCCCACGACTGACAAAAAAAAAAAAAAAGACAAAAACTATAACAAGTTTTTATTAAATTTAAAACAGGTACAGAATATTGATCATGAAGTAGGTTGACATACCAGTAACTTTTACGTATAACTCTGTATCTATGATTTCCCTAAATATCCTTAGAAAAATCAGAATGGAGAAGGACTGAAGAGTGAAAATACAACTCAATATAAATAAAAAACATCCAATTTCTAATTTTGTAAGGTATATCTCAAAATAGTAAATCATTGGCATTAATACTTGCGTGAGTAATGACTAACCTAATTTTTTAAATTAGTATTTCCTAATAATATACACAGTTAAAAAACTAAATAAAATTTTGTCAAAGCAACTAAGTAATACAATTACCTTTTCAGCTGGTAGCAAATCAAAATTTTCACTAAATTCTTCTAAAACCAAAGCAGCAAATTCATCATCCAAATCTGCAACCTAAAGAGAAAGGCTTTAAGTTCTTCCCTGTACTTCCACAATTATTAACTTTCTTAAATACAACCAATATGCATTATTTAAATATTTCAAGATAGCTATAGCTTCCATCTTATTATACAGGCGCCCAAACTCTTCATAGCTTTCAGATAGTTTTTCTCTTGAAGAAGAAAATTAGAAACTAAGGAAATACTAATAAGACTCCTAAACTCAAAGAGCCAGAATTTGAGTAGAATCTCAATAAAGCACTTTCCCTACCAAGAGTGCTCAAAAGAAATGAAAGAAAACATACAACTTGCAGCCAATAGTAACACCACAGTTTGCTCTTAGATAATTTGGGATTTTAGTTAATAAAAAGTCATCTGGTATCCCTCTAACATTCTAGTTGATCATATTTCCTAAGACAGTCAAAGAATTGTAATTCTTACTGTAATTCTTCACCAAGGGAAATCATTTCATGGAAGGATATTGACATTATTTCAATTCTTTTCATAATTATCTACCTTGAGGAAACAGGAGAATCTAGCAGGTAATAAATTAGTAAAACAGTTTAAAAAGTTGATAGCAGTATAAGGTAGCAAAATATTCAAACTATAGCGGAAATATACCTAATTGTCCAGGAAAGTAGTATCTGTGAGGTAGATCCCATCTGGACTCAGCCTGCTGGAAACAATTCCCCACTGTCTACTTGTTCATTTTCAGTCAAATTATATTACCTCCTTCTACACTATACCCTATGCAGATAATATTAGAACCATCTCTCAGGGCTGTTGTGAGGATTAAGTAACCAATTTCAATTCTATTTTCCATTCTATTCGGACATACAAAGTTGATTCTAGTCCCTAATAATATTTTCCACTATGAAAACCAAGACAAAATTGACCATTGTAACCATTTTTAAACACAGTTCAGCAGTGTTAAGCACATCAATATCGCTGTGCTGAATACTATCCCACTGTGTGTTTATGACATATTTTATTCACCTCTTGATGAGCAGACCCTTGGCTGGCTCCCACACTTGGCTCTTGTGAGTAACACTGCTAGGGATGCAGATGTACAAATATTTTTTCAAGGCCCTGTTTTTCATTCTTAGGAGTATGTATACAGAATGAAAATTTGAGATTATATAGTCATTCTATTTTCAATTTTCTGAAGAGCTTCCATGTTTTTTCAATAGCAATGATACAACTATACTCTCACTAACAATAGTGCCAGGACTTTCACCAATAGTGAAGTTCACCAATAGTGAACTCAGGACCTTGTGTTCACTAGGCAGGAACTCTTTCTCTTGAACCGTATGTCCAGCCTTTTTAAATTTTGTTATTTTCCAAGTAGGCTCTTGCTTTATGCCTAAGCCTACCTGGACTATGATCCTCCTATTTAAGCTTCCCTCATAGCAAAGATAACAGATGTGTGCCACTACATCCAGTTCTTTAGGGATTGAGAAAGATCTCAAGAGTTGTTTTTTCCCAGGCTGGTCTTGAACTGCAATCCTCCCAACCTCAAGATTCCCAAGTAGATAGAATTAGTTGTGAGCCATCACTATGCTCATTTTATTTTGGGGGGGGGGAGTTGATTGTAGGTACATTAATGCATGTGAGGTGGTCTCATTCTCTAATTTTTTTTTTTTTGTCTGTTGTGAGGCTTGAACTCTGGGCTTGGGCACTGTCCCTGCGCTCTTCAGCTCAAAGCAAGTGCTCTACCACTTGAGCCACAGCAGCACTTCCTGTTTTCTAGTGGTTTATTGGAGATAAGAGTCTCATGGACTTTCCTGCCTGTGCTAGCTTTGAACCGTGATCCTCAGATCTCAGCCTCCTGAGTAGCTAGGATTACAGGTGTGAGCCACTGGCGCCCGGTTCATTCTCTAAATTTTATTTTATTTCATTATTTATTTTTGGTCAGTTGTGGGGCCTGAACTCTGGGCCTGGGTGCTGTCCCTCAGCTCTTTAGATCAAGGCTAGCACCCTACCACTTGAGCCACAGCGCCACTTCCGGCTTTTTCTGATTATGTGGTACTGAGGAATCAAACCCAGGGCCTCATGCATGCAAGGCAAGCACTCTACCACTGAGCCACCTTCCCAGCCCTCTCTAAATTTTATATATACTTATATACTCCTTATAGTTAATTAGGTATTGATTGATAATCACAAATTTTTTATCATCATATATTATCATGTCCCTGAAAATGAGAGAATACATGCAAATATGTGTTGGCTCCTCAATGAACTGTAAGATCCTTCTTTATAGTCCTATCTTTTTTGTATTAAAACAATATGTGTTCACACAAAACAAACCCACAGAAAAACCAACTATACATGCAGTCATGCTGTCTATTTTAATTTTTGTTCTGTGCTCTGCTAACCTAGAGTAGCAGTACTACAAAGTGGACAGCAGTTGTAACTGAGCTAAGGCAGATCAAGATTCCAGCTCTACCACTTCATTAGCTGTGTGACAATTTAGTTAAGCATTTGAAGACTGTTTCTCCCCTTAACCACCAAAGAACCAGAAGTGGTGCTGTGGTTCAAGTGGTAGAGCACTAGCCTTGAGAAAAAGAAGCCTTGAAAAAGAAGTGCCCAGGCCATGAGTTCAAGCCCTAGGGCCAGAAAAAAAACAAACATATATATATATATATATATATATATATATATATATATATTACTTGGTCACATTTAAGTTAGAAGTAAAAAAAAATCAAAGGGATCACAATCAAATACTTTTATCTATTGTAAGATTTAGGGAGTCTGAGGTATGTATTACTTTGTACTATAAATGAATACAAATATTAGAAATATGAACAAACATGAGCTTGCTATTTTTTGTCAAAATTTTGAGGATACAGTCTAGATCTATATGGTTTAAAATTTTTCTAAATACTTTAATCTCTGGTAAAGATAAAAGCAGTTTGATCTCTGACCATTTTGTCAGTTGCTTTGGTCCAGCAATTATACAAATCAAACTTCAAGAAACTGTTGCACATGTGCAGTGAGAGATACAAAGAGGTTCATAGCAACAGTATTTGTAACAAAAGAAAACCTTAAAGTCCATCCACAGGGGAAGATAGTAACTTGTGCTCAAATCACATATTGAAACAACATACAGGATAGAAACTGAATATGGTTAAATTTTAACTACATATAGTAACAGGGATGAATCTCTTACATAATAGGGAATAATGTAATAAAATACAAACAGCACATTCCACTTTAAACTCACAACATGCAAAACTAAGTTCTTTAGGGATATAATTTGTAGTAATTTATAAAAAGCTAAAAAAAAGACAAATACTAAAATACGTCAGAGCTGGAGGTATTAGTTCAGTGGTAGAGTACTCTCAAGGCACTGAATTCAACAACCAACACAAAAGTATGTACTTATGCTTCTGTGTGTGCGCGAGCACACACACACACACACACACATAGTGACACTGCTACATATACTGGTGTTGGCTTATTCATTAGACTTAAATATTCCATGTAATTTTATATAAATTTTTACAATAAATAATGCTCTTTCAAAGTTACTGAACACTTAAACAATTTTAAACTCAAGAATTTACTTGTTCAATTAAGCTGTTCCTTGCTTCAAGTGTCTTCTTCAGCAATTCAGGATCACTCATTTCCAAGAGGGGTTTTCTCTCAAAGTCTTTTCCATCTTCTGAATTAGGATTCCAAAGAAGTTTTTCTTTACTTACTACATCCACAATTCCTTTGAAAGTTTTGGCTTCACCAATCGGTAACTATGAGCAGAGTGAGATTAGCATGATAAAAACCATCACTCACTTAGAATTGCACTGATGACAAAACTCTACTCATACCATTTCCTCCTGAATGTCTATTGCCATTATAGCAATTTTTATTTATAGCCCAACTTCTTCCAAAAAGGTTTTGAGATTACTTCAAAAATGTATATGTCACAAAAAATAAATTAGTGAGGAACCTAAGGAACTTATGTTAATTAATGAATTTACCTGTAAAAGCAAAGGCTTTGCCTTTAACTTCTCTCTGATACTTTCAACTGCATAGAGGAAACTGTAAAAAGCAAAATAATCAGTTTAAAATATTTGAAGCAGGATTAAAAGTATTCCCTAATGAAGGAAGGGGTAACATTGACCAAGAAGCCATGTACCCATAACCTTTGTTAATAGTAACAACTTAATAGTAACAATAAAATGTTCTCTAAAATAACTTATTATTTTCAATGCTTACCATTTAACAGCTTTATATGGGACACCACCTTGAATAATCTTGTTAATAGTAATTAAAAATCTACTATAATCCTACATAAAAGAGTTTAGAAATTAAGTTTACAGATGAAGGCTAAATGAGTTGATCAAGATCACATGGGGAAAAAAAGATTCAAAAGCAAGTTTACATGTTACTCAAGGATTCTTCTACAGTTGTATTTGCTATTACACAAGGTTACCAGATTTCTTCCAAGAGCCAGACTATTCTCTACATACATCATTGGTACGATACTATGTGCCTCATTTCTATGGTTACCTACGCAATAATCATCTTTGGCATACAGGTAATTTATAGCTACATAAGGAGATCATTTTGGTCCCAATGTCCTGAGAACCAGCCTATTATTCAGCTCTCCTTCCCCATCACCACAGGCACATCACCCTACCAAGGAAACTCCAAACAGAAGGATCAGAATTGAGGCCAGCACATTTTAGAGGCTGCTGTGCTGGAATTAAGACAAGAATCCATTCAATAAATAAACAAGCAGCTTTGGAATTACTGTGGAGAGTTACATAAACACAAAGAACACAGCTATGCAGTCCCAGAGGAATAACAGTTTGTTCTGTGATTTTAGTGCATGCTCTCTTGTGCTCGCTCTCTCTCTCTCTTGCTCTCTCTCCCTCCCTCCCTCTCTCTCCATAGACCAGAATCTTTCCCTATCACATTTTCCCTGGAATCCTTAGTGTTCTTGATTTTCTCCCTTTCACTAAGCTGTTCCCAGTAGCTGGAGAAAATCAGGGGATAAGTGCAGGAAACTACTCTCTAGCTCTAGGAATTATTAGGGATAAGTAAACATTAGCAATACCAGGTACTATCCCTCTAGAGTTCCAAAGATAACCAATAGAATCAATAAGATAGATAAAACTTTATCAGGATCTGAGAAACATGATCTAGCCCCCTAAACTCAATTGTAATCCATGAAAAGATCAAATTATATGCTAACTTCGATAAACCAAAGACATCCTATATACCTTGCTCCAGTTTTGTCCATCTTGTTTAAAAAACAGATCCGAGGTATTTTGTGTTTATCAGCTTGCCTCCATACAGTAAGAGTTTGGGCCTAAAGCAAAGAAGAAGGGGGGAAAGCCCTCAGTGTTAGGTTTTATTTCATTGTCGAGGATCATCAGGTGGGGCATTCAATAATTGTATTAGTACCCTGACTTCATTTTGAAAATTTTCAAATCTGTAGAGAAGTTGGTAAGACAGTAAATGATTCCCAAATATTAACATTTGACCACATTTACTTTACTGTCTCTACCAACATGCATGGACTGTATATGTGGTGGCAGTGTGAATGTGCTGCCCAAATCCCCATTTTCAGGGAATCTGACTGATGTACCAACTGCTGCCCCTCTGGATCTCCCACCATACCTGCCCAGGTCCATCTTCTGAGCTGTTCTAGCTAAGGACTGAGCATACCACGGGTACGAGTATAGACCTGTTCCTCTAGGACATGATTTCTCTGGCATGATTCCAATTTGGCTCAAGTACTTCCCACTAGCTTGGCCAAATCTTTCATGGAGCTTTGGTACAGAGACTCAATCTACCCAATGCTTCCTTGCACTTCCTTCACAGGCATCCGACCTGCACTGTGATCTGAATGTTCTCTACCACTTCTGTCTCCTCTCCCTTGCTCTTCGCTCAGTGGCAGATATTATCATACTTTAACACATGAACAAGGACATTTTCCTGAATAAATAAATGTAATTACCATACTCAGAAAACTTTATGTTTAACACAATATTTTTATCTGATATCCTTAGTCCATGTTCAAATCTCTCTAATTTTTCCCAGTGATATTTTCTGTAACCTTCTTTTATGATCTGGGACCCAGCTGAAGAGCATAAGTCACATTTAGTTTTCTGGCCTCTTTAGGATTTCTCCAGCTTCTTACCAACGACCACCATCCCCAGTCATTTATAGTACTTCAAGACATTTTTCAATTTCCAGAAAGTTATAGTTAGTTTTGTTATTGTTGTTGTTTCTAGAAGGTTTTTCACTTAGATTTTTCTCTTTTTTTGGGGGGGTGGGGGGAGGTCCGGTCGTGGGGCCTGAACTCTGGGCCTGGGCGCTGACCCTCAGCTCTTCAGCTCAAGGCTAGCCCTCTACCACTTGAGCCACAGCACCACTTCCGGCTTTTTTCTTATGTGGTGCTGAGGAATCGAACCCAGGGCCTCATGCATGCAAGACAAGCGCTCTACCACTGAGCCACCTTCCCAGCCCATTAGATTTCTCTTATTGTCCCATGGTTACATATAGACCAAACATCTTTGGGAGGAATAGAACACAGGTAATACTGTGTCCTTCTTGGTTCATTATACTATATCAATTTGTCCTAATTTGGGGACTACTTAAGATAATATCATGGCAGATCACTGGTGGCTTGTGCCTGTAATTCTGGCTACTTAGGAGGCTGAGACCTGGAAGACTGGAATTAAAAGCTAGCTCAGGAAGAAAAGTCTGTGAGACTGAATGATTCAAGTGGTAGAATGCCTACTGTGAGCAAGAAAGTAGAGTGAGGGCACAAAAGTCTTAAAGAAGGCCTGAGTTCAAGCCCTGGTACTGGCATACACACAGAGACACAGAAACACATAGATAATTAGTAATTTTAAGGTTAAAAGAAAATGGGTTCCACATTCAACATAGAGCCTATGTTGGTTGTAGGAAAAGAGGATTTAACTATCCCTTAAAAAGAGAGCACTAGTAATATAATTAATCCACTATCAAAATTTAACAATCTTCACACACAGATACACATACTTACACACTTCTTTTTGGCAGTGCTAGTATCAAATCCTGGGTCTCATGAACATAAGGAAGGTGACTCCTAGCCCAAGAACTTTTACAGGAGTTGCTGGGAGATAATTTTTCACAGGTCTCTCATGTTCCTACATGTTGTTTTAAAAGACACTGATTTCCTCTATTCTGCCCATCTTTTCAAGGATCTAGGTCTATCAAACAGCTTTAAAAACAGATAGTGTGTCTTTGGGAACAAAATGCAGGTTTGCTTACCTTCCTAATAAATAATGTCTGCCTTCAGAAGAAAAGGCAGGAATTGATGATTGCACACTATAAAATATTCCTATTAAGTACAAAATTCTTCTTTTTATTGGCTTTTCCCCTGCTCACTATGTCCAAGACTAGAACTCAAGCTTGGTATCTGATGCTTTCGCTCCTTGGCTGATGGTCTCCTATTTGAGTCCCTCACCCCCATCCCCAAGAGTGCTCTTAATCCCCTTCAGAGCTCCTTTCATGCCACCCTGTAGAGATCCAGAAACCAGAACAAGAAAATACTAAAACTCATTTGTGACTAAAAAGTTCTTTGTCTCTTACTCAGGAACTCTGTGTGTCCTGCCAGAAGCCATGAAACTAGGGCAGATGAATGGGTTGGCTTAAAGTAACAAAACCTCAGGCTCTCTGCAGTTCTTGGCACTAACTTTCATTATTTTCTACAGAGAAGCTAACATTTCTATCAAATATCCAAGATCATATTCAATATTAAATTTCAGCCTCCCACCAAAAGTGAAGACAAAGGGTGAACCAATTCAGCAGGGATACTCAGTAGACACTATGTTGGAAATGAACTACACAACTTGGGAAGAAGGGCTGTCAGGAGGGGAAAAACTGGGAGAGAATGAGGGAGGGGTGACACTGTTCAAAAAGAAATGTACTCACTACCTGATCTGTGTAACTGTAATCCCTCTGTAAATCACCTTTACAATAGAATTTTTAAAAGAAAAAAAATTAAAAATAAATTTCAGCTTCCCAAAACCATAATGAAGGTCTACAGGTATCTAATTTTAACACATTCTACATATGTGTATAGACATGTGTGTCTATATATGTGTACATATACATACACATACATGTTTATAAACACACATGCACATAGATTCACAAATCATGGTGTCTTTTTTTTTGGGGGGGGGATCTGCTTATGGGCCTGAACTCTGAGCCTGGGTGCTGTCCCTCAGCTCTTCAGCTCAAGGCTAGTGCTCTACCACTTGAGCCACAGCGCCACTTCTGGCTTTTTGTTTTTTCTGCTTATGTGGTGCTCAGGAATCGAACCCAGGGCCTCATGCATGCAAGGCAAGCACTCTACCACTGAGCCTCCTTCCCAGCCCTGCTATCTTTTTTAAAAAATTTAGCAACATTTTTACCTCTACACCAGCAGAGGCATCAAATACAGCCACCGCACCATCCAATACTCGTAAGCAGCGCTCAACCTCCAGGGTAAAATCCACATGACCTAAGAAAAGGACAAGGAATACTAACAACGGTCTTAAAAACAAAACAATCACAAGACTCAGCAGTTTCACTTCTGGTTATATACCAGAAAAGACATTTGTATACTCATGTCCACAGCAACATTATTTACCAAAAAGTAAAAGCAACCCAAATATCCCTCAGTGGAGGAATAAACAAAACCTGGTACAAACAGGTAGGCCCTCTACATCCATGGGGGTTGCAACTGCAGATTCAATCATGGATGGAAAACATTGGAGAAAAAACTGTGTTTAAACTAAATACTTGCAGACTTTTTTGTTATTCTCTAAACCATACAGTATAACAACTTTTTGTAGCATTTAAATTAGTTATTACAATCATGTGAGAGGATATACATAGGTTATATGCAAGTATTTTTCATCTTGTATAAGGGACTTGAACATCTACAGATTTTGGTATCCACAGAAGATCCTGGAACATTATCCTTCATAGTGAGAGATAGCAATACATAAAAGGGAATACTATGTTCTCTTCAAAGGAAAGAAATCTTACAAGCTGCTACAACATGTTATGTGTTAAGTGAATAAGACTATCATAGGACAAATGTGATATGATTCTATTTGTATGAAGTATTTAAAGTAATCAAGTTCATGGATATATAAATTGGAATGATGGTGTTGGATGAGGGACAAAATAGAACAGTTGTTTAATAAAGTACAAAGTTTATGTTCTGCAAGATGAAAAAGTTACTGCGCATCTGCTTCAAAGTGATGTGGATATACTTAACGTTACTGAATATATATTTAAAAATAGCTGCTGTGGACGGAGGGGAGCAAGATGGTGGCACCAAAAGGGAGCTACTGGGTCCGGGCCCAACTGGGATTCCCGCCACTGCTGCTGCTATTGACCTTGGCCCTAGCGTTTGACTCGATCTTGGGTGATACAGCATCCTGCCACGGGGCCTGTCAGTTGACCTACTCCTTGCACACCTACCCCAAGGAAGAGGAGTTGTCTGCATGTCAGAGAGGTTGCAGGCTGTTTTCAAGTTTTCAGTTTGTGGATGATGGAATTGATTTAAATCGAACCAAATTGTAATGTGAATCTGCATGTATAGAACATATTTCCAACCTGATGAGCAATATGCTTGCCATCTCAGATGCCAAGATCAGCTACTATTTGCTGAATTGAAACAAGAACAACTAATGTCCCTGATGCCAAAAATACACCTCCTCTTCCCTCTAACTCTGGTGAGCTCATTCTGGAGTTACATGATGGACTCTGCACAGAGCTTCATAACCTCTTCATGGACCTTGCATCGTCAAGCTGATGATGGGAAAATAGTGATATTCTAGTCGAAGCCAGAAATTCAGTTTGCACCACAGTTGGCACAGGAGGCTACAAATTTGGGATAATCTTCTCTGAGCAAAATGTCCTATCTGCCCTTGAGAAGTTCACAGTCACACAGAAACTATCTTGAAGATGGAGAAAGTGATGGCTTTTTGAGATGCTTCTCTCTCAACTCTGGGTGGATTTTAACCATGACTCTTGTCCTCTCAGTAATGGTTTTGCTCTGGATTTGTTGTGCAGCTTTTACTACAGCTGTGGAACAGTATGTTCCCCCTGAGAAGCCGAGTATCTATGGTGACTTGGAATTTGTGAATGAACAAAAGCTAAGCAAATATCTAGCTTCTTCTCTTGTGGTTGTTAGATCTAAAGTTGAAGATCATGAAGAAGCAGGACCTCTACCTACTAAAGTAAATCTTGCCCATCCAGAAATTTAAGAGGTCTTCTTAAAAAGAAAAGTGGGAAGGTGGCTCAGTGGTAGAGCACTTGCCTTGCATGCATGAGGCCCTGAGTTCAATTCCTGAGCACCACATAAGCAGAAAAAACAAAAAGCCGGAAGTGGTGCTACGGCTCAAGTGGTAGTGCACTAGCCTTGAGCTGAAGAGCTGAGGGACAGCACCCAGGCCCAGAGTTCAGGCCCCATGACCGGACCCAAAAAAAAAAAAATGGTTTCATTAGATTTAGGCCATAAGTCAATATGAAGTGCAAATTAATTCACCCAAATGTGTGAGGACCATATTTACTATAACTGTACCTATAGGGTTTTTCCCCCTAGTAACTTAAGACATGGACATTTGGGTTGTATTTTTATTTTACTAATGTCTATAGCCACTTTGTAAGTTGTGTTGGTTTTGTTGGTTTTTTTCTCTGTTAGCCAAATTCTATGAGTTGATTATAGTTCTTCCCCACCTCCTATCATGATACTGTCAATCATCTTAGTTAATAAGCTGAATACTTAGGATATGACGCTTTTGCTTAGCAGTGGCCCACAAAGCTGTAATTTGAATTTAGCAGAAAATGGCATTTAATGATACTACATTTTCAATTGTATTGAATTGAAATAATTAAAATTTTATTTGAATAATTATGTGCTGAAAAAAAATAGCTGCTGTGTGCTAGTAACTCATACCTGTAATCCTGGCTACTCAAGAGGCTGAGATCTGAGGACTGCAATTCAAAGCCTACCTGGGCAGAAAATTCCAGGAGATATATCTCTACCTAGCTACCAAAAAAAAAAAAA